TAATTTTCAGTCTGGTTTGCTTGTGAGTGTAAACGTCTCCAGAGCTGGTTTGATGATTTTCTATTGTACTCTTGAAAGTTTAATGTTAGGTGTGCCACACCTTCGACAAGTGTTCTATCGTATGGGATTGTCTGCAGGGTCGATGTAATTGAGCTCAAAGCCACTACGCGGAAGAGGAGCATTAGAAAACGGATGGTGGCAGTGGCCACAACCTGGTTATTATCATTTCCAAATTTTAATTTGATATACTACCTACTCAACTTTGTTTTCCCTATTCAAGTTGCAACAGATAAAATAACAATGTTAGGAAAGAAAAGATTAGAGCACATTCTGAGAGATCCCGAAAGATATGGCTTTGATATTGTTTCAAGAAAGGGCACGTCCTCAAATATCTGGCTTTGGTGGCCCTTGAACTGCAGAGATAATGCATACTTCAAGTAATTTGTTTGAGCTCCCTATACTCTTGTTCTATATTTTCTGTTTGCTTGTATGTGTCTTTGGTTTACATCCCTTTTGAACCAGAGAATTGCTTAAAGGAGAATCTGAGGGCTTGCTAAAACTCCCAACCGATGTTACATTGTTGATGATCCAGAGTTTAGACGTTGTGTTTAGCTTTATGTCAAGGTGATGTATTGTAAGTAGTTACTTCTACAATCAGCACACAATAATTCTATGTGTGTGTGTGTTGCTATGCTATTAGCATTGTAAAGCAGCTCAAATATTCATTTACTTTGCAAAACCAGGTCCTCTTCTTCAAACAGTAAGTAATCAGTTGTCAAATTGATTTAGATTCAAATTTGAATCCAAATAAAATTTGGCTGTGAAAATACAAATGCTAATATTGGTGTTTGTACTACATGTCTGTCCTTAGATCTGAGATATGCTGGTTTTTGGGAAGACTACAAATAATCTTTGTCTTGGGTATGATTGTTTTTTCTTATTTCGGAAGTCTGTTGGAATACATGGAATGCTGCTTTTATGTTTCTTCTTATGTGCATCATTGGTTTTATGTGTGATCTGATGTGTTGGTTGATCAAATAAATGAGACACGATGCTCTTTTCTTTATTTTATTTTTGTTTTTTTTCTTATTTCAGAAGTCTGTTGGAATACATGGAATGCTACCTTTATGCTTCTTTTTATGTGCATCATTAGTTTTATGTGTGATCTGATGTTTTGGTTGATCAAATAAATGAGACAAGATGCTCTTTTCTTTATTTTATTTTATTTTATTTTATTATTTTTTTTTATATATTTGAGCATGTAAATGTGATTTTAGTTTTTTACCAATTCTAAAGGGTAGTTTAATACTTGTTTCTATGAAATCTTAATCTTTCCTGGATTTGTGTTTGCTTAGTTCATATTCAGAATGGTGTATGGATATCTAGAATTGTGAGTTTGATGGGTTGAGAGTGATTTTTGTAGCTTTATTTGACGGTTTAATGTAATAATATGATCAAAATAAACTTAATGATGCACTTTCTTCAGCCCACATGATGTTTTCTCACACAATGCACTCATAATTTTACAGACAAATTCTCGCGGAGGATAGAACTGTGGCTGGAGTAGAGGTGGCTCGGCACCGATGAGCAGCGTTCCAAGAGGGTCCGATTTCACTCCCCCAGTGTCCGGTGTTCGCCTATATTTTTAAAGCTCGACCGCAAGTGTACGGCTTCGCTCGTAGTATGTGGCAAGTAAGGTCGTATCCCAAGAGACCAAACAACCAATTAATCAAGTACTAGATTATGATAGTGTCAACTTTATTTAGACGATCGTAATATGAGATTGATTAACTAAACTAAGCAAATAAATCAAAAGATAAGAAATCAATAACAAGAAAACAACTAGAAAAACACTTAAGAAGAATATAAGGGAATGGTAGATTCTAAGACTATGGGTTCAATTAACAGTTGGGTTCCTTCAAATATATCACAATTAACTATTTTCTTTATCTACCCTATAAGATGATCACAAAATTAGTCTATCGTCCCTCTCGAGATCGATAAAACCGTAGATTAAATCACATATATTAGCATCTCCACTCAACACATGCAATTCAACTCCAAATAGATTAAAAGACCCAAAATCCTCACAATTACCTACTAATCTCTCGATTCAAGCAAGTGAATTATGTCAAATATTAAAGACCTAATATTGAACTCATCTCTCGAATTATGAACAATATTGTCAAACATGTAAAAGAATGGATCAAGTTCTAAACATGGAATAAGAACAAAATACTTGAATAGGGTTCAAAAGAAAAACAATCAATTATAAATAAATCATCCAAAATCCCAACATATTAATCTAGTACCATGTCTTAGAATCAAAGAAATCTAGCTACTCATGTTCGAATTCAAACACATAGACATATTCAAAATCAACATGAGAAAAACAAGTTCAAAAGATAGAAAGAAAAACTAGTAAGCTTGTCGTCGATCTTCTCTTCTTCCCAATTGCTTCTCTTGCGTGTTCTCTAGCTCCCTTCCTTGTGTAATCACGTTCTAGGGCTCAAGATCAGGTAAATATGTCTTTTTATATGTCCAAAAGTCCTCTCCTAAGCGAAAAAGGCAAAGGATTAAAAACTGCCCGCGTCGCGACACGACCTGACACGCCCGTGTCACAGGTCGTGTCACGGGTCGTGTCAGGTACCTGGCGAGGTGACATGGCCTCTGACACGGGCTGGTTGGTCGTGTCACAGCCCGTGTCACACCTCAGCATGCACGTTTTTGTCCGTTTTGCTCGTTTCATCCATTTTTCACATCCGTGCATCTATCTATCATCATCACGGGAGTCTTAGGCACTCACCATGCTCCTCCAATAGCCAAAGCTCTAAAAATATGTGAAAATATCTACAAATCGAGCACGTGTAATACCTTTCCAACAAACATAGAATTAAAGCACAAATATGCAATCTATACACCACAAATGCAACAATTAAGCTCTAGATACTATATGAATATGGTGTAAAATCACACATGAACATCCGGCGCCCATATGGGTTAACAACGAAGACGAGATGATATCGCCAGGCTTTAGAACTTGTCAGCGCTTTTCGAGGTTCGTATAGAATGGCAATTGAATTTGTCTTACAACAGTTTCAGAGGGACACAACTCCAGAAAGTGCTTCACAATCTCACGAGTTATGTGTACCAGAACTTGTCGAACGCCGAAAACTGGGAAAAGGCGATCGAGTTTGGAGAACAAATGGATAAGCTACGTGGTTTTACGGGAGGTGAGAATGGATCGACTGTTGGTGTTCCTCAAGATGGGCTCGTTGATACAGAGGCCCAGTAGCCGCAGGATAGTGAAGATAGGGTCTTGAGCTAAAATGATGTTAAGAAAAATTCTTTTACTATGTATTTCCTTTTTGTTTTATCTTTAAATTGCTTTATGATGTAAGTTGGGAAGTGGTCCCAAAAGATGCTTAAATGGTGTGTGCGACGTGAATATTGGCATAATTAGTTATGCAACATTTAATCTCTATCATCTCCCTCATTTCTGCACTTTCCTCCATTAAACCTTCTAATATATTCAACAAGACAACATAATTCGCCTTTCTAGAAAATATAAAATTATCAAGTTGAGCATACAAATTGTAAAATCCCTACGAAATTAAACATTAATCTCATCGAGATCACAACACATTTTAACATGCAACTTTTTTTGGCCAAAAAAAAAAGGAACTAGAAAATATTGCCTGAATTCGAGCCGACTGTGCGTGCACGACTGGAATCCAACTAGTATAATAATAATAATAAAAAAAATAGATAACTTTAAAAATGTGCACATGTGCATCACTAGTTTGCATATACAAATACGGCAAATATTTAGGTGTGCCAGAGCCTTGTGTGAATTACATTTCCTCTAAAGGCGCGTGAGAGGTAAGGAGGTAAGTGTTTTTTTTTTAAAATGGGACATGTGTCCCATTTTTATTGGGTAATGAATTTCATTTATCATATTATATAAATTAAATTATCATTCATATTTTGTACCAAAAAATAAAAATAAAAATATCAAAATTCCTAATTTTTCATTCTCTACAAATAGAGATCACATTTGATATTTTTTGGAACACAATTAATTTATCATTTTTTACAATTAATTTATTTTATTGGAAGATTATGACGCAAATCTATAATTAGATGAATATGTTACATAGTAAGATGAACATGTTATAGAGTAAGATGAACATGTCATAGAATAAGATGAAAAAGTTACATTTTCACAGATGAAATTTAGATGAACATATTCTAAAATAAGATGAACATGTTACATAATAAAATGAACATGTTGTAGAATAAAATGAACATGTTACATAATAAAATGAACATGTTA